CCTGGTGCATTCCAGCCTGGGTTTTAAAATGCTACCCAGTAATCAGCGTGGCAGTTTGTACCGCTTAATTCTAGCCAAAACTGCCGCAGACTGTCTTTTTAAGCATACCCAAAAACATCATCGATTTTGAGCTCAAATTAAATTGTGTTTTTACTTTTCAAAAAAAAAAAAAGTACCATTGTTGTACATCTGCTCTTCCGTAGACTGACCGGTTCCGCAGTACATCACACCAACCTTGTACCTTGTATATATCGGCTGTAATAATTTAAATGAAGCTATTCGAGTTTCATGCGATGCAAATAACGGTGTTATAGAGGAGAGTTAAAAAATCAGTTCTTTGCTTTATCACGAAAAAAACTGGTAACGCAAAGAAATCAGCACCAACCGGGAGTCCTTCTACAAAAAAATCCAATTTTTTTTCAGCTGGAAATTACGATGCACATTCATTTGTTTGCTAAGGTGATCGTAACGGTCAGTTTCTTTCAAAACATTTTATCAGTAATCTGGCTGAGAACATATTGGCAATTCCCGTTTTCTTCGTTTTCGATGAGTTAATTTTCAGGACCATTTCTCTTACTTTACGAGCACTGCTCATAACGAGAACACTGTTATCCGCAAAACACGGAAAACTGAGCAGTTCAACGCTAATATTCGAACCGCCTTTCGCTTCTCTTTACAGAAAATTATTACGATAAATCGCATAAAAAGATTAGGTGACAGAGGACTCAGACTCCCCTCGATTTACATAAAAACTGACATTGTTTATCACCACTCTTTCCAGCACAAAACGACTAGTGGGTTTTTTCTAGATTTTTCATTTTCTGACAAGCCTCACCAGAGAGTATTTTCTTAAAATTGCAGCTTTCGAGTTTTCAGAGTTCTGTAACTGAGTTACTCGAATAAGGAAGACTGCAAACATGCTTTAATTTCGCACAGAAAGACGTAAACAATCCAGACAAAGAGTAATTACCTGTTCATCAATTTTGACGAGCAGATCCTCCACTCGTGATGACGATGGATTGGCTGGACGAAGAATCCCAAAATGTATTTGGGGGCATGCAACTTCCAGTAGATCCTTCATCAGCGATCTAGTACTTTTCAGATCGACATTACTATCCGAAACAACCTCTTCCGGGATTGCAACGCGCAAAGTGCACAACTATAATTCATTTTCATCTTTTTTTAAAGTTTTATGCCTTCTGCAGTTCACTTCTTTGCACCTTTTCTCCCAGCACGAGCGGTTTTTGGCATCTTCTACAACAGCAAATGATAGGCGCATGCCACTCTTTCAAAGCTTTCTTTTCTTGGCCAGTGCTCGACGACTCCTTCACCAAAAAAACAAGCATTACGAAACTCACTTCAGAACTATTAAACCCTTGTACAGTCGACGGAAAAACTGGCTTGAAGTTGTTATTTCCTAGTACGCTTCAGCAAGTAACTTACGGCAATATCCATTTCGTTGCCACAAACTTATTTAGGTATTAATACACTTATTTAATTCATCTTTGTTTTTTTTTCTAGTTTTATGCCTTTTGTCTTTTAGTTTTATGGCAAAATGGGGCATTGTACTGATGATTCCCACTCCATTTGCACCGATTCTGCCTCTGTGTTTAGACAGGCTACCAAGTCACTGCACATATAGGCTTGCTTATTTGGGAAATCTAAATGGCCCTCCCAATTTTGCATTAATTATCAAAATTCGATTGTGTTCCTCTCCATGATAGGCCAATAACGCCAAACAAACTGCATATGTTAACAGGAAGAAGATTTCTGGCCCCCGTCCTCTTCCAATCTCCCGGCCAGGGATATTCACTGTTTGTATCTTTAAAATTTCCACAACACAACATTAAGCTTGTTACCGCTTTTCTGTTCACCAGCGAGCGTTACTAGTTCGTTGGTAATAATTTTCATGGATACTCAGTAAATATAAAAGAGCAAGCAAGCTTGATGATAATTTTCTGGTCTTTCTATCGTGGTTATTGCAGCCAAAACGATTTTAGAACTGTTCCAGTTGTTGGGTAAACTGCTAAAGGGGGTGAACTCATTTTTGCCCTTGGTATTTTTTGAAAGGCTGCTGTTTTGCATAGATGCTTGATTTGATTTTCACTACGCTCACTATCCAGAATTAGCTCGCACTATTCAAGTTTACGCAAAAAGGAAAAAGAAAACGCATTATTCCGGCAAAAATGCAGAAGTTGTCAAGATTCAGCTGTGTTTTGATACTGCTTAGCTTGGTGCCACTCCTACACCGCTGCGGTGGGTAACTGGAGGAAAAATCAGTGGGAATTTGATCATGCTTTGCTTACTACGTTGTCATCAAGTTTTTCATGACCAAAGCATTTAAAAAAGCATATTCAGCTTTTAATAAAGGTGCCAAATATCTCTT